AGACCAAGAACCCGCTCGCGCCCGACGCTTTCGACCGCCTGAAAAAGGCCCAGACGGAGCTGATGGACGAGAAGCACCGCGAGCGCCTCGACGAGGCCATTGCCGACGCCCGCATGCTCCTCATCCGCGAGAACAAGTGGACCGTCGACAGCCCCGAGCTCAAGACGGACGACTTTGCGAAAAAGTGGCGCAACAAGGCGCGCGAGGTGCTCATCGACAACGAGCACCGCCGGCGGCGGCAGATGAAGGCGCAGATGCAGGAGGAGGGCCGCGAACAGAAGAAGGAGGAGGAGGAGATTGAGCAGCGGAAGCGAAAGAGGCAGCACGACCAGGACTGGGAGGCGACGCGGGACCAGCGCATCAGCAGCTGGCGGGATTTCCAAAAGGGAAAGTCGGGCGACGGGAAGAAGAAGAAGAAGATGAAGCCTATTGGTTGAAGTCTGGCATCACCACGAAAGGGGAAGGGGTTTGGGCCCTACTATGGGTTTGCATTGGTTTCTGATTACAGGCGGAAAGGGGGCTGGTGTTTTAATTGGATCGTTCTTCACTACAGTTCGACAGGTCTCGACTACGGATTTTCGGGCACAAAGCATGTGTACAGCATGGTTTTATCAGCAAATCAGTGAGTTTGTTGTTTATTGACCACCGCGGTTATGTCCCTAACCATTTCAGAAGTGCAATGCTCGTGTCTCTTTCCCCCAAACGTTCCCCTTATCACCTTTTGAGGGAGTTTTTATCTACCAGGTAAGCACCTTTCCCTCCCGTTCGTTCTATCGTGGCTATGATTTGCTTCATGATTTCAAAAACATGTACTTTTGACACATCCGCTTGAAAGCTTCGTGATATGTTAAGATCCCAGGAGTTGTCCGCCCTGCTCCTTCGAGATTCCGGTACCCAACCTCCGGATTCCCCCTCATGCCTTGTTCTTCTTCTTGTACTGAATGAACCGTCCCAGGTTCAACACAGCCTCCTCAGTACGCGTGCGCAGCTCAGGAAGAGTCCTCTTATCAATCGTCTTGACCAAAGCCTTGACCTTGGGCTGAACCGTCTCGAGGTGCTGGATAAAGTTGTCCTTCCAGAACACCTCCTTGTCGCACGGCATGTCCTCGTCTCCATAAATGTCAAACAACTGGTTCAGGGCCTCGACGGCGTCGGCCGCCGGGGTCTCTGGCAGGGCAGTCACCACCGTGATCAGGAACACGCCAATCTCCCTGTTGAGCGCAAGGGGCGCCGGGTCCCGCGCCAGCTGGCCCAGGACGCCGATGCACTTTACGCCGAGACCCTGGAAGGGGTCTTCGGGCTCCTCGTCCTTTGCCTTGTCTCCGTTGGCCGCCGTCTCGGCCGCCTGTTTTGAGGGCAGGTTCTTGGTCGCGTGGTACAGCGCCATGAACTTTGTGTGCTCGTCGCCGCCGAGGGGTAGGCGGCGGGGCAGGCTGCGGGACACGGCCCACGCGAGGCTGGTGACCTTTGTGGCGAGCTCGACGTCGGCGGTGTTGGCGGCCAGGATCGGGGCGATGACTTGGCCCCAGACGGCCTTGCCGGACGGGGCCCAGGCCTTGAGGATACCGGCGTTGTGGTCGTCGGAGAAGTCAAAGACGGAGATGGACCAGGCGATGTTGCTGAGGGCGGCCAGGGCGTGGGCTTGTACCCGGACGTCGTCGCCCTCTGCTTGTGATGATGACGGGGTCGCGAGGGTGATGAGCTGCGGGATGGCCTGCTGGACTAGCTCGCGCAGAGTGGGCAGGTCGTCCATGGTCGCCTCCTCGTCGACGTCGTCGTCGGCGCCGGTGACGAGGTCCATGTCGGCCTGCATCTCGTCTTCGTCCATGGAGTCGTCGTCATTCTCGTCGTCCTCGCCCTCGCCAATGTCTTCATCGCCCGAGCCGTTGTCCTCCTTGACGTCCTCGTCCATGGCGGTGTCGTCGTCTTCGATTCCGTTCCATTCCTCCTTCTTGGCCTTCTTGCTGTCGCCTCCCTGAAGGGACTGCTGCAGCGTGGTTCCAACGTCGGCCAGGATCTCCAGGGCAAGCTGAAGAACCTCGGTCGGGTTGGACCATTGGCTCCTGGGTGGCAAATCAGTTTCCGGCGTGGTGTTCTTGAGTGCCGATGACAGAGTCGGGATGAGTGAGGCGTCAGATAGGTCCTTGGGGCCCGGCGTGCTGTCGAACCAATGCAAGGTGGTGAAGATGTTGTGCAGAATACCACAGGCCAGGACACCCTTTGCGCCAGCGACTTCTTGCAGCTTAGTCAACGCCGTGAGCGGCTTGGGGCTCTCGTCGGCGACGACATCCTGCGCCAGACGCTGGTTGTCTTCGGAAAGGGTCAGGAGGGCAGAGAGAGCGTCGAGGCAGATGCTTGACGGTGTGTCGGGGTGAGCGATGACGGTGAAGAGCAAGTGCTTGATACCCTCGATGCCCACAATGGCTTCGAGAACCTCATCCTGGGCCTCGGCGAGGGCGGACAAAAGGCCAATGACGGACTCGGTGATGGTCCAGGTGACCTTTGTCTCGCCCTTGCTCAGAGATGAGCCCTTGGCAAGGTTTTGGAGAACCTGGGTTTGTCATGTTAACGCACGGTAGATACTCACACTCACTCACATGAACGGGTTCCTGTTAGTGAGTTTGAAATAAGTGACAACTTGACTTACAGTCTGAGAAGCAAAACCAATGGCGCTCAACACATCTTGACGGTACAGGTGAATGCAAAAGTCGGCCTCCTCCTCCTCGGCGAGAACCCTCAAAATGTCCCAACCGGCGGCGCGGCTGTCGAGGCTGGCGTCGGTGAGGGTCTCGTTCAGGACGATGTGGACAATCTGCTCACGCAACAGCAGCTTCCGGCACTTTTCGTTGGAGACGAGGTTGGAGACGGCCTCGGCGGCGGCGGTGCGCGACTTGGGGTCGGCGCTCTGCAGGTCCTTGATGACGGGCAGGATGGACTTTTCCCTGAGGGCGGCGAGCTCGGGGTCGGAGGGGGGCTTGACGGTTTTGGCGATGGGGTCCTTGCGATGGCTTGGGCCGCCTCTGTTTCGTCTTGACTTTCCCATTTTGTATGAGTATGATTGGCTGTATGAGTGAGATCTTATGTAGTGTGTTGTGGATGTGAAGAGAGTGAGGATGAGATATTGTGAGTTTTGGAGATGGCTTCTTATTCGGGGTTTGGACCAATGTTCGTGACCGACCCTATCAAAAAAGTTCCCAATGCTTCACTTCCCGAAAAAATAGAGTGACGAACAAAAAAAAAATTCAAAAAAAGGTGTTGCTATGGGCAGCCACAACGTGGCTCGTGTTCCCGCCCGGCATCCCGTACCACCGATCTCCATTCGCCAATCACCAGTCGTCTCACCAATTGGTCCCATCCATCGACCAGATCTATCAGTACGTACTCATTTTTCTCACGTTGACTGTGGAACACAACGTGGAATAACGGCCTATGGGATAAAGAGTACAGCAGGGATGGCATATTTAGTGTGCTATACATAGGCAGACGCGGGCAGATACATGGCTCGGATGCCCGATCGAGGGAGAGAGTCCAGGCTTGTTTTCCGGGCCGGAAAGTTCAAGCTTCAGTGTTCAAGGGACGGGATACCTGGGCTGACGGGAGCCTGTAAGGTACCTTTCCCCGCCTACCGCGTAGGGGCGCCACGCTAAGGTCAGGAACAGTACATTGCGTTCCCCAACCTTGTGAGACATCGGGAGAGACAGGTTCAATTGACGTTGAACACCTCTTAGCTGTCAAGTTAGGCATTTGGCAGTCGCGTTTGATGGAACTCAACCCAGGTACGTAGCATACGTACTGCCGCAAGTACGTACTTAGAATGATGGATGACATTGCTGTCACCGTGTCACACGCCCATTCCTTGCTTGGGACACCACCAGACGGACGCCGAGCCGGACACTTTAAACACCTTTTTTTCAACGGTCCCCTTAACGGACCTCACTTAATGCCACTTTTGCTTTTTTACCTTTTTGTCTCTCCCTCGATCCCTTTTGGTGCAGCTGTCATTATCGGCACTATGTACGTACAGATACGAATAATCCGTAGTCTGTACAGTCTTCGAATCCCCGCTGGCTCTCGCTCGGTCTCTCTCGCACACGCACACGTACGACCGTGACCACCACCTCTCAAATCCTCGAGTCCACGTCAACCTTGACCTATCACGGTTCACTAGGTAGCATACCATCCAAAGCAAAAAGCAAGAGCAAGAGCAAAAGCTTCGAGATCGTCCGTCCACCCCCACCACGCGCATCTTCCTCCGGGCCACGTCCGGACCAGCTCCACAGATCCACCACCCAGTACCCACCAAAGCTCGCGTCTGTGACATTGCACCACGCTGCACAGCCCAGCTGGAGCAGACAACCCTGGGATCTCAAATCTCTCGTCAAGGTCTGGCCCATCTAGGTGATCAATTGCCGGCAACGTCCAACAGGGGAGGAAAACGAAGGGGAACCGCATGGGAAAAGGGGACCACTCGTTGTTTCCCACACTTGCGCCGACTTTCTTACCTTTCGTGTACGGAGTACGAACGACTACCTTGCGCATCGCATCTCACGGCATCTCTCATCCCATCCCGGCCAGTTCCCATCTGATCCCGTCCCGCTGGCCCGCTTCAGCAACTGCGTCTGTTTCAACTGCTGTGCTGTCCTGTACGCTCGCTGCTGCTCAGCTTTAGCCTCGACCTTACTCGCCCTCCTCCTACTCCTGCGTCAGTTATCCTTCAACTTTGCATCTGGAGCTTTCCAACGGATAACGCAGCCCAGCCAGCTTCTCTACCACCTCGACGGGAAGATGTGAGACGCCCAACCCTCGGATCACCGCTCCCCCCTCCCTTGCAACTTTCAGTCCTTTTTTCGGTGAACGTGTACCATCCACGCACGCTTCGTCTTACCTTCGCTTCCACTTCTCCCTTGCCCTTCTTACTTTCTCTCTTCCCCTCTTCTTCCTTTAAACTGTCCTCAGGCCCGTCGCTGCTGCACCTCTCCGTCCCTCCCAGATAGAGAAGCATGCCGGATCCATGGCGCCAATTACGCTCCTTCGTTTTCCTCAGCGATGAAGAGATGGGGAAGAAGGACGACGACCATCACCGCCCTGGCGGCAGCGCCATCAAGAACCCCATGCTGCTTCGAAACAGGAACCCCCAATGGCAGCCCGCCGCCAAGATGCCCTCCCGCCGCCTCTTCCGACGCATCGCCTACCTCCTCGTCATTGCCGCCGGCCTCTATTACCTCTTGAGCGACCTCTCCCTCGGTTTCGGCCAACGGCCCCCGAACTACATCTACCCGTACCCCGAAGACGCTTCTCCGTCCCGCGATCCCTCCTCACGAAAGCCCGGCCGACTAGCTCAAGGTCAACCCATCCCGCCGGCCACAGAACACGACTACAATGGCCCCGTCAAGTTCCACCGGCTCGCCAACTCGCTACACGCCATTGCTGCTACCAAGGGCAGCCAGCCCATCAACCAAAATGTCCTCTTCGCCGCCTCCAACTTGCGCAGCATATCGAGCTTGCTACCGTTCGCTTGTAAGATGGGCACTGAGCTGAGGAGCTACGTACACTTTGCCGTCATGAGCAGGAGCGACATCAACCTCGACGAGCTCAAGAAGATCAACGGCGTGGACGATACCTGCTACATCATCTGGCACGATGCCCGAGCCGACTTCTCCCCCCTCTCGACCGACGCTCGACTCGAACAATCCGCGGTCCGCGCGCTGCGACACATAAGCACATACATGCATCCTCAAGCTATCCTCATTGACGGCTCCGACGACGAATACGTCCCCTTCACGAAAGGAATGCGCGACGAGACGGGCAGGCTCAAGACCCCGCTGATTGAGCTTCCCGCTGGTGCCTGGACACATCTTTCATGGTTGTCGAAGCTTGACAGCGCTTCCCTAGCTGCGTGGAACCAGGTCAGCGTCGACATCCTGATCCAGGCCCCGGCGAGCGGGTCAGGCAGCCTGTTGCGGCTGCTCAAGTCTCTCAATGACGCCGATTTCACTGCCTTCTCGATCCCTCACCTCACCATTGAGCTACCGCAAGACATTGAACCTGCGACGGCCAAGTTCCTCGAGACGTTCCGCTGGCCGCCGCCACACGTGCATAACCCCGGGCGCGTGCAGATGCTCTCCCTAAGGCATAGAATCCCGAGACAGCGCATGACGGAGGAGGAGAGCTCCATACGATTCCTTGAGTCTTTCTGGCCAACAACGCCAAAGTACTCTCATATTCTAGTTCTTTCGCCGCAGGCGGAGCTTGCGCCTGGTTTCTTCCATTGTAGGCATAATCCATGTCACAAGAACTAGAACATCTGACTAACGATTACCAGACCTGAAGTATGCGGTGTTGGAGTACCGCTACTCTCGCCTGACCACCCTCCAGAAATGGGACCAACGTTTGCTCGGCATCAGCATGACCACGCCTTCCATGTACCTGAACGGCAAGAAGGACTTCATCGAGCCGACGGCAGAAGGCGCAAGCGATCTCGAACCCGGAACTTCCTACCTGTGGCAAGCTCCCAACAGCAACGCCGTTCTCTTCTTCGGTGACAGGTGGATCGAGCTACACGGCCTCGTATCGCAAGTCGACGCGCTACAACACGCGCGGGGTGCCGAGCCATCGCCGGCGCTGATTGCCGAAAAGCAGGTCAGCAAGATGTACCCCTCCTGGCTGGAACATATGCTGCGCCTGTCCCGGCTCAGGGGCTACTTCACGCTGTACCCCAGCGCGGAGACGGCAGCCACGATCGCGACAGTGCACCAGGAGCTCTACCAGGTTCCCGAGGAATACGAGAAGGAAGGTGGGGAGGGTAAGAGGACGGCGAGTCTCTCGGAATCGAGGTTTGGCTCCGGGTCCCTGGTCCAGACGATGGACACACTGCCGAATAATGGTAGTCTCAAGCCCGCCAATGACCTTCCCCTGCTCGGCTGGGAGGGCGAGGGTACGAACCTTAGGCACATCTATCAAATGGCGATAGAGTACATGTTCACATGGCGCGAGCAAGTCGGTGGCTGCAGCAAAGAAGAGTCTCAGCGGGATCACGTGGATGGGTCCGCGAGGGATCTATTTTGCACACCAGATGGTAAACTCAAGGCTTAATGGAGAATGAAGTGAGTGCGGAGCAAATCCCAAGGAGGGACAGCCTGCCGATCAAGATGATTAAGAGAATCTTGTGCCAAGTGTATACTATATAGACCCTTTTCATATACCCACGGGATGGATGGAACATCAGCATGGACTGACACGGCGCGACGAAGACAAAGGCACAAAAAGGTGGGATACAAATAAGCGAAATGAGATTTTTTTGTTTGCAGCATATTCACTTCAAGACTGGTCCTGCGACGAAAGCTGCTGCTGCTGCTTCTGCGTTAGTTGATGAGTTCTTCTGTCCCTCTTGAGAGTTTGCTGAAATCTTTGTAATGACGAGTAAGACGACGCATGTTCCCACAATGCTGAGAGCTACCACGGCGAGGACCTGGGGTATTCGAGTCAATATGAAGAAAACCGCATAATTCGGCGTGAGAAAGAGGCGGGGAGACAGTGAGAACTTACGAGCTGCGTCCTCCATCCGGTTTGCACGATGGCCGCTTTGCGACTATACTTGTTGACGGTTTCTTACATGCATCCACATCAGCCACTCTGCGCTTCTGGGGGGGAGCTTGCACCGTAGGGGAGGAAAGACTCACTTATGTAGTTACCGATCCCGAGACACAGACACGCGACGGCCAGGATCCAAAAGATGATGCCGAGGGGTTTGGCCATGCGCAGCTCGAGCTCGCTGGGTTCGGACTTCAGGTGGAAGGAGAGGACGATGGCGACGGCGACGATGGACATGTAGACTGAGAGGCGGAGGTAGCTTAGGAATGCTGTGTGGTGAGTTGGTGGGTGGTTAGTGAGTAGTTCAACCGATTTTGTTGTGATGTTTGAATGGAGCGCCGACGGGCCGAGGGGAGTGAGAGGATGAGCGAGGGGACGATTGAGAGAGATATCAAAAGTACGAGTAAGAAGGCGAAGGGTGTTGGACATACTCCTCTCATTTGCGCAGTGGTCGCGCGCATCGCTGGTTTCGTTTTGGAAGAGGAGGGGGCCGAAGATGGGCCAGGCGAGGAATGTTGATTTTCCTGCGTGGCCTGAGCCGCTTGTTGTGACATTGTATGTTAGCTTTCAAAGGATCAATTCACAAGTGAGATCAACCTGAGCAGAGATTGAGAGGTGAGTAGGAGAGAGTGAGTGAGTATCGTACTTACCCAAGGTCGCCGACGTCAATTGGTCTCAAGAGCTCTGAGGGCCGGAGGGGCGCGCAGCAGTGGAAGGTTAGGTCCTCGTCGTCCATGTCAGGTCGCGAAGCCATGATTATGGAAGATGACGCTTGAATGAGCTCAGATTGGATTGAATAAGTCGAAAACGAATTGAAGGTCCTGCGCGTGAACTTGAAAGTGAATGAAGCTGTGAGTTTGAGGATTTGAGTGACGGGAACTTGGAAGTCTGGGCACGGCAGCTTTGGAAATGGCAACCGGATTTGATCACAAGCGCCATGTATGGTGTCATTTGGGCACTGTGTAATTTCTCATGAACTAAGGGGCCCTGCCAAGGACTTGGGGCCGGCGCGGACACTGTACGGCAACGGCGATCGGCGATCGGGCTCCACCTCGGCTCACCCGACTTACACTCTAGCCGACCTCGCCGTTAGGACCTCGATTGAATCGCCCTGGCATTCATATCTAAGTAAACGTGATATTGTTGATACCCGCGATCGAATATCTTGAAATCGCTTCCAGATTCTTCCCTTTGGACTGCGAAAAAAATAGTAACCACAAAGCGTGACTCGAAAAAAAGGAAAATACAGAAGCCAAGTCGAAGTTTCCTTGGTCATCAAGCACCTATTAAGCCAAGAAACCCGGTTTCTCCATCAAATCAGACTTCTTGAACTTTGCTCGCTTGCTGTCCTGAATACTCAGGGTCTTCAAACCCTCGTTCTCGGCGTTCTTCTCTACTTTCGGCATAAGGCCTTGGACGGGTCATCCGCCAATGCACAATACGAGATCCAGACCTGGACCGCCGCCAGCGCCGTGGCCAGAATTCCGAAGACAGCCGCTATAATCAGGGCGGCAAGAGCACAATTGTACATGTGTCGAGGCGATTTCCTCCGTTCTGCGTACCGCTCCCATCTAGTAGTCGGCGTCGGGTGGTCGACCTCGCTCAGCAGACGGACCAGCTGTGGGGCCCAGTGCGGGTGCTGCGTGTATAAGCCGCGAAGGTCATCGGGAAGTTCTTGACCAGCTGGAGACCCTAGAGAATGGCGGGACGGCTTCAGGAGATCGGGATCGAGATCTTGCCGCTGGACCCATTTCTTCAGTATTCGTCGGGACCGCCCGTCACCGAAGGGAGGGAATAGAAGATCGAGGGTTCTGAGTGTATCCTCGAGAAGCTTCGGGGGTAGACAGCCACTATGGCATTACTTGGTAAGTTTTTATTCTTACGATAAGGCTCTCAAGGCTAGGTCTTACATGGATATGGCTTCAGGTAAAGAATGGTTTAACTCTTCCTGGTCGGCCTTCAAAATATCCAGGCTACGTTCGAGAAACTCTCGATGATGGTACACCAACAGGGTTTTGAATCCTTCTCCCTGAATCAAAGACAAGTGATCCGAGAGATTGTCAGTTGCATCGATCTCAATTCTGGCGTTCTTAGACAGGATATGGGCACTGAGATTCCTAATATTGACAGACTGTTCGGGTATCCCTCCAGCAGACCGATGTGGGTAGACACGCTTAAAGAAGGCCACTAGTGTCTCATTATCTGTCCATTTATATATGTTATAGCCTCCGAGTGCGGTGCCTTCAGTGTGACACGCAGTCATGAACATCAGCCTTACAGCGTGTTCCAGAACTGCGCCGGTACCTCCACAGTCGGTTGCTGATCGAATCGAGTCTTTCGATGCTGAAGGATTCAATTTGAGCTGCACGATTGCCTTCTGTATGTCAGCTTTGCTGTGACTGAGCCTGTTCGTCGAAACTCTCTCCGCATAATACTCTGAAAGCCGAACACTTTGCAAACGTTGCGATGAAGCGGCTTCTCCGTTGCTGTTCTCCCAAATGAAGTCCGCAATGGTATGATCAGTAGGTAAGACTGAAGAGGCACCCATCGCAAAATATCTGAGGAGCCGATTTCTAAACGATAGAGTGGGGTTAACTTTCGACAGAATTGACAAAAACCCGGAGACTTTAGGTGCTATTTCATTGTGGAATGACTGCTAAGGCTTTGGTGGTAAGAAACCCCAGGTAAGGCGACTGGCTGATCAGGCGGTCTTGAGATGAACACGCCATTGGGCTGTGTTGGTTACACGAGCCTGGTTGGGCGTTCTCGCGTTCTTGAGATGACCACGTTGGCGGACTTCATTGGCAAGAAGCCGGCACACCCACTGCTTCCTTTACCGTTAGTCCTGCATCGAAGGAGCACATGCAGCAGGAAAAGTCGCCTCATCATGGATTATGAGGTCAAGTCCGCCTCACTAAATTGGGGGAATAAAGCGACACGCAGACCCTAGCAGGTTCGAGTTATGTTTGTTTTCGCAATCTCATACTTACTCAGGCTCCCATGTCGTACTCTCAACACTCGTGAGGACATAGCCACTCGACCGAGATGAGCGCTCTAACGAATTCTTCGTCAACCTATCTCGAATCCGCCGGTGCTCGATACCCCCTTCTTGACTATTTGAGAGTCAAATGGCGCGTTCCAAAGATCGCTTGGGGCATTAAATCACTCAAGACATATTGGGCGTTGTTGGAATCTCCTATGAGAATCCATAACCACAGCAACCGCATCTTGGTACTGATCGCGATCGCAATGACTACCTGGACCGTTTTCGAGCTTGCCTCGACTATCAATGGCACCAAAATGCAGGGTCTTAGTTATTTTGACCGCGGTCGGCTACTAGTTGCAGTCGCATTTGCTGCTTGTTGGATTGTGTTTAGCCTTGTCTTGGCTATGTACGACTGCAACAAGCAGGGATTACACGTTGTCCACCCCGTCTTGGACGACTTTCCAATATCAATCGCCGTTAATGAGTCGAAGTATAATGCGGGACTTTCAGCGGAAGCGCCCAATAAGAGGTCGGATTCTCCTGCAGCTGTTGACGTCGACAGAAGCAACATTGGGCCAGCTACCACAGAGAGTCTGCACATGCCAGCCACCTCTCATAAAGAGATGCAAACCGAGCCAGCAGATTCTGCAAAATCCGAAGGAAATACCGAACAAAATCACAATTCAGTGCAGCTCGGTGTCGGCATATATTGTACACAGAGCCGGCCTCAAGATATTCAGGAGCAACAGATGAGCCACGATAATAAGCAACAACCATGTACGCCCAAAGACGTCGATACTCGTGAGAGCCCCTACGTGTACCACAATCAAGGTTTCTTTGAAGTCCTTCTTTGCCGTCGTGGGTACGGGTTGTCTACCACCGACACTGTCTGGGCCAACCCCAACGTCCCTTTTACGATCGAAGATCAACTGGTTTTGCACAATTTGGATTCAGGGCTGATGCGCTTCAAAAGTGCCTTTTACTCTTATTCAAGACATCAATTCCCCCTCATTAGCCTAAGCTTGGTATCTGTTAAGCCGAGTATAGGTCTTTTTGGCACACACCTACACTCAAAATCTACCCCCGACACACGCATTTGCATTTCCGGTCTCAGGAATGTGAATGAAATCCAAGCATTCGACACACTTATGTCCAGATCTGGCAATAGGCATCTCTATAGCCCCTTGAAACTCTGCTATCAGAACAGCCAGATCATCCGCTCAGCTGGCCCGGCTTCGCACAACATCAAGTCTTCGAGCATTCAGACCATGTGTGGCAGTCTAGTGACATTCGACGAGATAGATAGGTCTCAAAGAAAGTCTACTATAGGCGGTATCATTGAGGTCGATGGACAACCCTTCGCACTTACGACAAGCCATCGTGTCGATAAGGAGATCACGACTGAGGATGAGGATGACCCGTCCCTCGCAGACCTCATCACGGCATTCGACAGCGAAACTCTCGGAGGTCAAGAGTCACTGCAACCCACATCTTCTCCGTATATGAGGTCGCTGTCTGTCGCACCTTCGCTCCATAAAGATGGCGAAGTACTCGATGCCTCAATCACTGAGAAACTGCAGCCAGCTCCCTTGGAAGGCTTGAGCTACGGATGTGCGCTAACACCAGATCTGGAAGAAACCTGGGATGATTGGGCCCTTCTATCCGTTAGACCAGAACACTGTCTACCAAATATAGTGCCATATCCTAGTTTCTCATCATCGAAGGAAGAGGGCAGGAACCGACAAATTAGCAGATTCCTGGACTTTGACTCGATGAGCTTCGACAATAGCCTACCCTGGCCTGTTTCGATCATCTCAGGCGTCAGTGGCACGATGCCTGGTTTGCTGTCCTCGAGTCCGTCTTACATGCTGGCGGAAACGAGCCGGCCCCAAGAACTATGGAATATAAGGCTTGTTCAAGGCGGTACGTAACATGTCCAATCTTGAGAAACTTGGTTATCTTACACGAGCTTTTCTGACAAATTCAGATCTTCAAGCAGGTGATTCCGGATCTTGGGTTGTTCGAGAGAGTGACTGCAGCCTCCTTGGCATGATCGTAGCACGCTCGAACTGTGCGGCTTACATGGTCTCATTCGGTCAGTTGAGAAAAGCGATTGAGAAAAAGAGAAGTCTATCGGCAGGTGCTATTAGATTACCGATGGCATCAACGAACGACACTATTAGGTCACTGATGTCGCCAGCGAAAATGAAAGACCCTTTTTCGATAGGCGGCATTATGTTTCGTGTCAACCGCTTCCCAGTGACCGTCGAACCTGGAATCTTACCAAAACTTCGACTGCCATACACCGCACCAACAATATCAGATCAGAGGACTACTACTTATGAACGACCTCCAGAGAATACAAGGGCCCGAGATGTCGCAGGCGTACCTCAAAACAGCGAATTGGATGTCATACTCGATAATAGCCAACGAATCGAAACCCAGCTGTCTCAAGTTTCGCTCCGAAAAGAGCGTGTTGAGCTACAGAATGGAGACAACAAACTTCAAGTGGAATCCCGAAGCGACAGTGACAACAACTGTCCATGTGGAAAGCCTAGGCGGTGTTTAGTGTCTTTCCTTTTCATTTTTATTTTTATCATCGAGTGGATTTGTTGGGTCTATTCTGGTTCAAAGGTGCGGATTGCTCTCTCGACTTTTCTTCTGTTGTGGTTGTGGTACAAAATCTGGCTTGGTAAAAAGATACATACCCAAACGGCGGACTCGAGAGCCTCCACTCCAGAGAGAAGAGCAGCTTCGTCTCTTTTCTGCGCACCAGCGTATAGGTAGTTAAGCGTTTACCTTGGCAATTTAAATGGGTGTCTATTCCACCGAAACTGAAAATGGGTGTATACTCCCCGTCCGACCGCCAGCCCTAATCAACAAACCTTTTCGCGATACTTTGTCTCCTGTGTTGACTCCTTTTCACTTCTCGTCAATTTTGAACCGAGCAACAATGCATCCAAGGAACGCCAACTTCTATACGACGCTCCACACACTATAAGCCGTACGCCGTAAGGCGACAATTTGCCCATTAAGCCCCAAATCGGTGCAATATTTGGGGGCTCCGTGAGCTATACGCCGTCTACCGACTAGATGGAACCGCAAAATCAGAATTGCATTATGGGACACAGGGGAGCTCTTCCGGAGGCATTCAAAGTCAAAGCTGAAGCGGCAAGAATGGTTGTATATTGTAGAATACTCGTCTCTAACATCTCTCAAAGACCCGGTACAAGCCCTTCAAATCAGCAACCTCCAACACAGCAGCCTTCATCAACGACGTAGTCGCAACCAACCTCGCCTTGAAGGCAGGGAAGAAAATATGCTCAATCGCGAAACGCACGTTTCTCCGCCGTTCCGCAAGCTGATCATCGACCTTGGCCTCCTCGTCATTCTCGTCAGCCTCCCCGCCAACCGTCGGCGGCAACTGCTCAGGCACATAGAAAGACGCCAGCTCTTTCAAAAAGGAATCAAAACACAGCTTCTCATCCTCCCAGTTGACACAGGGTCCGAGACGCAGGAGGAAACGAGGCAACTTGACCATGGCGGGCGTGTAGCCCTTGATCAGGAGGGGGATAGTGAGCAGCTCGCCCGCAGGGGAGACTTCGAGGGAGAAGTACTCGGTAAGCATCTCACGCCGCTCGATGAGCTGGGCTGCTACCTTCTCGACAACGTCCTCAATCTCAAAGTCCTCCTCGGGAGACTCGATATTCGCCTTCTCTGCCTCAGCGCCGATGCGGAGGATCTCCCGCAGGTCCAGGGGCGGCGTGAAGCGGATGGTGCCAAAGTTGCCAAAATCCGTCAGCCCGACTTGATAGCAGTACTCGTAACAGGTCCGACCGTAGTCAATAAGATACATCTTGACACCGCCCTGAATAGCGGCCAATCGACGGCGTTCGTCGACGACGCCGACAAATGTGTGATTCGCAAAGATGTCTGTGAGGTCGTTGTGCATGTCTTCCCTTACCTCGGCCCGGAGCTCCTTGACGCTAGTAAGCCTCATTGGTGCGAAGGGCCTATCGACCGTTTCGTACTGAATATGCTCCGAGGCAGACAAGGCATTTTCGTCAGCCGCCCCGGCTGCGGCCGCAGCAAGCCCGGGGGATGCCTTGGAGGGCGTAGCAGCTGTGGCTGAGGGCAGCATGCTGGTGATTTTCCGCAAGCTCGTATCGGTACGGACGAGGTTGTTAGAGTTCCTCCGTGGTCTTTTCGAGCCTGGGGTTTCTCTTGCGGGCGTCGCTGGGGTTCCCTCGCTTTCGGCCTGAGGGGATATCTCCATCATCTGCCCCCCCGGGAGCAAGCTCTGTGTCATGAATGTGCGACTTGTGTCCACCTCTGCCAGCTTAGAGCGTATGTGCTCGCATATTGACTGGATGACGTCATCTTCGTTCAGGAAATGCACTTCTTGCTTCGTGGGATGGACGTTGACGTCGACTCGGGCAGGGTCGATCTCGAGGCTGAGGTAGATGAATGGCCGACCGCCCTTGGGTAAGAATGAGGCGTACAGCTGCTCAAGTGCCTTTCTTATGGTGGTTGACTCTACACAACGGTGATTGATGAATAGGAGAAAGGTAGTCTTTTTTATGTTGTAGTTGGCGTTCGTAGCCCATCCAGTAGCCTTGAAGCCCCAACGGTCTTCTGAGGTTGAGAACTGCATTAACTCGTTGGCGACACTTGAGCCGTATATCTGCCGTATTCGGTCGATTTCGCTTGCTGTGGCTTGGATGGATACACTGGTACCCGATTCGCCGTGCTTCTTGCAGGAGAAGCCCACTCCCTTACAATGGATGGCGTAACGTCCAACAATGTCAATGATCTTATTGTACTCCTCAGCAGGCGACCTAAATGCTCTTCGACGTGTCGGTATGTTATAGAACATGTCTTCGACGCTGATCTGCGTACCCTGGCGGCCAGCAGTGGGCTTGGGCTCAGCCGACTGACCGGGCTTTGCAGGAGCCAGCTTCCCATCGAGGTATGTGGCACGCCATGCGCAATTCGAGTCTTTGGTCTTGGTAGTCACGGAAAGATGGGCGATGTGACTGATACTTGCTAGGGCTTCGCCTCTGAAGCCATACGTGGCAATGGAGGTGAGGTCCTCGAAGGCGGTGATCTTAGAAGTCGTATGACGCTCGCAGAGAATCTCCATGTCTTCTCTCTTGAGCAGAGTCAGAACGGATAGGTAGATCTACGAAGAGGACGCATGTCATGTCATACCTGAATACCGCATCCATTGTCGGTGATTTGCAGGAGTTTGAGGCCACCCTCCTTGACCAGTACCTCGAGAGCGGTGGCACCTGCGTCAACGGAGTTCTCGATCAATTCTTTCAGGGCATTGACAGGGGCAACAATGATCTCTCCGGCGGCAATTTTATTGACTACATTCTGATCGAGGGCCTGCATATGCCTGTCAGAAGTGTAGCACGCCGAGTAAGCGGCAAATGCAACTCACGCGAATGCGACGGGGCCCTTGAGAGTTTTCCAGGTCATCCCCCGCCTTCCGCTTCGTGCCAGCAGAAGGAGCGGAATCGACTTCCATGGGGTCAGCCATGGCCGTCTGAGGTTCGAGAAGGCTCAATATTGCTAGTAGCTGTTGCGGGGCAGTGTAACACCAGTAAGGCGAGGCAGGAAGGCAGCTCAATAGCGGTACATGCCCACCAACAGCTTCATTCAGCTGGCTTGGGAAACAGTGTGAATGTACGAATTCGCAAGGTTGTCGAGTGGAGGGGAGAAAATGCCTGCTGCCGGCGAGGATGGAGTCGCGACTACCGGGCCCACGGGTTCCCAGAGTTTGGCGCGTCTTCACGTGAGCAGCTGTTTAGTCAGCCAAAACCACTTTATGGAAGGTGCTTGCCTTGGAACCACGAACCTTCCTCGGGCACCTCAGCTACCCGGGTACGTATCGAAGTCGCCGTTCTTACCCACCGCATCCCACAACTTAAGGCAATGAGCGAGCCGACGCAGTACACCCATCTGCACATTACTTCAACAACCTATCAACCTCCCATCCGGGTTGCTGCAACAATACACATCCTTGACAATGCCTCTAGCCCCTAATACAATTTACGGTTGCAGTTCTCGGACCCATGTCGTCTTCACCGTTATCCGACCAATTTGCGCCTGTCACAGTTCTGCACAACACAGCACTCGGATCGACATTTCTGACGCTGGCACGAAACCCATCCAGATGTGATGACGCTAGAGTACCATCGAATTCGCAAGACTGGGACACTGAAAGACCATTTCTGATCGACCTTCGAAGTCGTGCTTTAGTTTCCAAAGATTCCAGGCTCCGATCCGGGGCGTATCCGTCAACCCTGCGAGCATAGATCCCCAGTGATCAAACCAGGGACTGTCGATGTAGTCCATCGATCAGATTCACCGAGAACAGCGTTGACATTTCTGGTGTGGAGGCTGTGGCGGTGTTCGACACCGAAAGTCTCCAATGTTCAAGAGAATGCCACCTACCAAGCTCAGCCATCAAGCACAAACAAATCGCGGTGGTATCCATTCTACTTGGCCGAAAACGCCTTGGACGTCTGTCAACAAATCTGCTTCGCAGAAGCTTCGCAGAACCCCATGAAGAAGTTCATTCCTCGAAGGGTGAC